CAATATTATTCAAAATTTACGATGGTAATCCAAATAATACAAATGGATTTTAGAAATCTGAATTATTAAGGAATTGTTGCCGAGAGAACAGCAATGTATGAAATATAAATATTTATCGGGCCTATGCATCATGATGACAACTATTGGGATCAAATTAAATTGTAAGTTAATCATTTAATAATTAACTATTAATACACTGTTATAAAAATCAGATTTGTTAACATGAGTTTTTAGTTTGTTAGTTTTATTTTGTAAAATTTTAACATATTTTTTTGTATAAAACCAGGGTTTGTAGTTATTTTAACAAAGGTAAATATATTACCGAAAGTTTTGTATATGTATTTATAAAGGTAATATGCATGGTAAGCATTTTGTTAATTTTAAATGTTACAGATTAATTTGTTAATGTTTAAAAAATTATTTCGATAAACAAAACATTTTCCACTGACAATAGGCATCAACAAGTTCAACTGACTTCAGCGTCTGCAACTTATGACTCTACTTTATTCTATTCGTAAAGTGTTCGTAACAACTGTCCAGAGTGTTGATAATATATTACCAGATTACTGTTATTCGGATTCCTTATAACTATTTAAGGAGTGTGCGAAGTGCAAAGTATCCGAAAAAAGATGCCATCACTGGTTTTCAAAAACTGAAATTTCTTTATAATTTGATGATTTTAGAATAGGGTGTTATTTAATTGGGTCTATGTTTTTGTGTTTATTTATGAAGGTATACCTATATGTGTTAATTTTTTAGTTTGGGAAATTGATTAATAAAGCAACATTTCCTATAAAAATTTAAGTTCCCAATCTCCAACAAATACTTTTGTTACTGGGTCTGCGAAAAGCTTTGTAAAAATGAGGTTCTTTTTTAAAAATTACAAGAACTATGCTTGAATTATTGATGTAGAATTTTGTTATTAAATCTAGAAAATGTTTGTTATAATTACAGAATACTTATTCAATAAGTTAACAGATTACAATTGGTTGTAAACTTGACAAATATTTGGTTAAAATTAACAAATATTTTTTTACTGTGTGACAGAGTTGGGCAGAAATAATATCACCACTTTTTTAAATACGACATAATTAGATAAAGACCATTTTACCACACTTTATGGTATTTCGGTTTAATTAAATTAAATTAATTCCCTAAAAGCTAAAATTAATTTCAAGCAGTAAAAATAAACCTTTTCAAATATTTTAAAGCCGTTTAAATCAAGAGAGATTTTAATTCGTTTAAACATATATTACATAACCATTCAGCAATAAACCATTAATTTTAATTAGGTACAAATAATAATTAAATGTTATTTGAAACATTGGTAGCGTAGGCTTTATGTGCGGTTAGACTAAATGAACCATCGCAAAGTTTAAGAGCAAATAGAGAGCGGAATTTAAAACATATGGTATTTGTGATCAAATCTCATTGGTAGCTTCCATTGAGGGATCTTGATTTAATGCACTCTTTGACCCACTTTAACCAAACATTGTTTTCAAGACACGCCTCAAAATTTACCATTTACTTAATGAAAACCTCTTCTTCAATTTAAAAGTAATTACTTACATGTACCTACCTTCAAGAAATATATGTTAAATGAGTTTTTAATAATATTTTACACTAAAAACTCTTAATAATAATTTCTCTGCTAATTCTTTTATTATTATTATTATTATTATTATTGTATAATTTTTATACTTCCTCTATAACAACACTATGATAGTTTTAGAAACTTTTTTTTCTAACATTGTTTACTCCAGCTTAGTTTAAATAATTTTGGGCCGCTGATTTCAAAAATGTCATTTGTTTTTCTCTAGAACGTCTAGGATTTAAAATAATTTCGTAATAAAATGATCTGCTCAATCACCTCAAAATGTAAGTTTTTTGTTAGTATTTTAATTATTTATTAAATTATTTTGGCTTAAATTTATCTTGAATGTACTGAAGTAATTGGTATACGTCAAATAGATCATATTTATCTTAACAATATGATATTTTAAGTACTAAAACTAAAATTTTAATATATTTTATGTAAAAAACAACCATTATTTGACATTATTTGTCGTTTATTTTAATTATTGCATTGAAAGGGCAAGAACAAGTTTTGGCAAGTAAGCACACAAAATTTAATGCATTGCATAATTTTGCTTTTTTTTACTTAAATTTATTAAATCGTATCAAATATCGAATTAAATTATAGTATTATTTATAGTATTATTGTGCATAATATCCTCATCATCGTCGTACATCTTTTGCTTCAAATTTCAGCAAATGTCTTCCAGCAATGAATCCAACTTCTTTCCGCTATACCCATAGATATCTACCAATGCTCTAGATTTGCAGTTACTTGGTGAAATAGTTCTCCATGTTCATCAGTTCGGCAAATTTATCAGGATGAAAAAAAGAAAATGTATTTTAAATGACATATTAACGTTAATTTTTTAAAAAACGGAGAGCATTTTTTCAATGAATTGACGCCAATTTTAGGCCCGATATGAACCAAGAACATTTTCAATGACAGCTTTAACACTGCCATATGCGACAAGCTCGTCAACTTTGAGAGCATTTTTGAATGCTTGATCTTTCATTAAACGTCGTATATAGGGTCCATTTAATATTCCTGCAAAATTAAAGTGGTAGATAAATCTCATACAATTTTGTAATGAAATATTGCGTTGGTTTTTCTTGGGCGTAAAGGGACCGCAACAAAAACAAAACAAATTTACAACATTTCTCTTTCTCTGCCACTTCCATTACCACTTCAATTTCCTGCTCTTTTTTCATTTTTGGTTCTTAAAACCACATTAAAGTAAAAATACAATTTAAAGTTTAGTTAGATAAAGTAGATAAAGGCGCCTTTATATTTCAATTCGATTTTAAATTTTGATAAGACTTAATAAAATAAGATTGGACATTGAATTTTTGGGTACTTTAGGCATAATGTGAATAAAATATATCAAGTAATTTACTTTGTTGTCTTTTCAATTTAATTAGTAGGTAATTAAAAAACGACACAAAAATTTCAAAAAATGATACTTTTTAACCAAAAAACATTATAATTTCAGTTTTGGTATTTAATACTACTATAGTATAAGGCTACAATGGAACAAAAATGTTTCTATTTGACATTTATCTACCGATCACTTTGTATGGAGTCCCTGTATAATTTTGACAAAAAAAATATACTGAACATCCAAAATAGATTTACCTAAGGCAGAATAATTTAATAAATAATCAAAATATTAACAAAAAACTTACATTTTGAGATAATTGGGCAGAGCATTTTATTACCCAACTATTTCGAATCCCAGACGTCCTGGAGCAAAACGAGTGGCGTTTTTGAAATCAGCAGCCCAAAATTAGGTAATATAGGTGGGCTCAAAGATAATACACCCCATAGATTGGAAACAAACAAATTAGTGCTTATTATAAATAAATTAAACCAGTTTAGTACGTTAATTTCTTAGAAAAGGATTAATTTGTCAAAACAATACCCCTAGCGAGAAAAAATCGAACTAATTACTTGCCTCATAAATTTTTTTATCGGCCTAGGCCATAACAAGGTATTTCTTTATCGAATGTTGACAACAATAGAGTTTAAATTATAGACCGCGTGGAGATAAATACATTTTTGCGGAAATGTAACCAATTTGTAAGTATTGACTATCCTGCCGTCCTAAGCCAAAAAGACTCATATCGTTATTATTAAATTATTCTCTTAGCAAAAAAGACGCATTTTAACTATACATACATTTTAAGTACTATATCTCCTAAAAATTTCTAATTAAATTGAACGTATCTTATGAAAAAAAAATAAAGAGCTATAATTTATAAAGTAAAAATCTGGATTTGCGTCTTTTTAGCTAAGCACGGCAGTATCGCTCTAGCGTAAAAATACTGTTTGTTAATTATGAATTAATTAGGATTGCTTGTTTAATAGTAATTTAGTCCAGGCCAAGCCCAGGCTACTTATGGTTGTTTTAAAACCAAGAGTTGGCAAGATGGATTTTTCACAGTTGGTTAGAACTTGCCAAAAGTCCACACTCAAAAGCCTTGTACAAATTCCTAAATGTATATGTATATATTACCAAATTTTTGCAATATTCTCTTATTATTAAAGAATTAAGACTAATATTTTTTAGATTTGAACTCCCCAAACAAAAACATATTTATGTATACCGATTATGTATTTAATATGTACAAATGTATGTATTTTATTTTATATTATATTATTACTACAATAAATAAATCTTATATTCATAGTTGTTTTATTTAAAATACAGCAGTAAATACAATATTAAAGGCACCTTACTAAGCATCAACATTCAAATATGGCGCCAATATATGTTAAAGAAATCTACATCAATTTTTGGAATTGCTAAGGGTATTGTAGACCTAGATGGCGTTAATTTACTTTATCTACGCCAGTGAGATAAGAACTTCTTATCCCACTCATTTTGAGTGAGATAAGAAGTTCATTAACGCACGCGTTTTTCTCTGCTTTTAACCAATCAAATAAAAAAGTCAAAATGTCAAAATGTCAAAATAACCCTAAATTAAGTCTTAGACAAAAATAATTACCGTTTATTTTTTCATTTAGAGGCGTAGATAAAAATTTGTACAATATACGTGTGATAACGCTTTATTAACGTACTTTTGCGATTGCCCAACTCGTGCTACGCACTCGTTGGCAAATTTCGCATGCGTACGTTAATAAAGCTCTTATCCCACTTAACGTAACGTAATTAACTATTTAGCCTTTCGCCGCTAGCGCTAGTGCAGTTTCCAATCTATGGGGTGTATTATCTTTGGGTGGGCTTACTCAATGTTAGTAATTCGAACTAGCATAGTGCAATTATTGTTGAAAACTAAAATGTTTATGCTCATTACTGAAATTATTGACAAAAATGACCGCACGGTCATTCTATTGAAGTCTAAAAACACCCTTTATAAAGCTAAAAATTGCAACATTATTTAAAACTAAAAATCTTACTTACCGAAACTATGATAATTGGTAGGGTATATTGGAAAATCAAGGAGAATATCGAGTAGTAAGCCCTTCCGTGTTGAACAGGCCAGTCTTCGTAGCAGAAATTTAATATTAGCGTCGTAGTTTCCAGTTCTACAACGTGATGGGATAGAGATTTCGATATCAGCAAAGGAGATGCTAATATTATCGCCACAACCCAAATTAGTAAAAGGATCAAAGTGGCACCGAATAGCTGTAGGCTTTCTCTGGTTGGATATACAATAACCTAAAACGAAAGCAGTTTGTTAATTAATAGTTTCGGACCATTATCATTACACAAATGGTCCGGCTATGTCTGAACACACCGCTAAAGAACACCTTTGATTGGCTACTTTTTTATTTATAAGCTAATTAGGGAGCGTCAGATCAAAAAACGTCAAAGGACTTTTCGTCTTGTTCCCTATTTACCTTTTCTGCAGTCCTGTATATTTAAAGAGTTCTCTTTAATACATTTGTACTCCACCAGAAATTTTTAATGCTTTATCGGCAAAATCAAAATGTTAGTACAAAACTTATTTACAAAATGTATGTAGGTTACCTACAGTAGGTAATATTAAAATATTTTTTTAATTTTAATCAAAAGATAAAAAATTGTGTTTTACAAAGTTAATAAACTTCTACTCGATTTTCTAATACTGCGCTCTTTTACGATCAAAGTTTTTTTACCAGAACAGGTAAATACTTTCAAAAGTTTTATAATATAAAACTTTAATGATTTATTCAAAGTTTTGTTACTAAACTAATGCAGGACATTAATAAAAAATTACGATTATTTAAAACTTTTTCTGTTCTGTCTAAAAAAGTTTTTCAACTATTTTAGATTAAATTTTAAAAATTGCTTGAAATCAAGGGGTTCAACCCCCCAATTGAAAGTCTCAAAATAAAAAAAAATAGTATACTACTTAAAATTTACCAAAAAAAAATTGTAACTGTTATAACAAACCACCCACTAAGATAAACAAGTAAACCATCAATTAAGTACTGCGAACTTCAGACATCTATTATAATAATTATAATTATTATTATTATAATACTAATGTAAATTATGTTTGTAATTTTCATAATAAAATCCTTTATTTATTTTTTTACATGAAATAAACCGTTTGTTTCAACAATTACACCATCTTGCAAGGATTTTCCAACAATGCTTGGAATTTTTTCATCTTCAGGGCAAAAACTTCGAAAAATGCAAAAAAGAGGAGGTCAGCCGTAAATTTTTTTTGCTAGTAGCCATTTTTAAGTTTTTTAATGAAATTGAAAAAATCGCTTGGTTTTGTTATCATTTAAAGTGAATTACTTATCTACAGTGTACTCGTATATTCTACACCAATACACGAGATATAAATAATTCTTACTTTTTGTTGAAGAATTTTAAGCTATATCCAATGCTGTTTGACTCATTCGATCAAAGGATATAGTTGAAAAGGTCAAGAAGCAAATCTAACGAAAACCTCATCTTTGTCATCCATGTCGAACCAACGTCGAAAATCAATAGTACAACGGTACGAGATAACACCAATGTTGTAGGAAATTTGCGCATTATTATAATAATATATAATATATATATTCTTCATTCTTCATTCTTAAGAATTGTTCATATATATTCTTCATTCTTCATTCTTAAGAATTGTTCATATCTCGTGTATTGGTGTTAATGATTCAGTTTGAATAAGAAAAACAAGCGATTTTGAACAAAAAATTTAAATTTAAATTTATTAGCAATAAAATTCTTTTGAACACAAAAAAAATATGTAAGACAGTGTTATTATTTTAAATGTATATGTATATGTATGTTTAACTATTTAATGATAAACCCCCCCATGAGAAAATCCTGCGCACGGCCCTGCTCGGTCAACTTTGATTTCTCCTAATTTAAAGGTCATATCGCCGGTATGACCAAAATATGATATCGGCAACATAAAGGAGAAAAGATTTATCTAAACTAAAATTATGTTGACTATTCCCCTCGTCTTAATTTCCACCAATCACAAACGCGCGAGTTTACCCGCGGCAAAACTTGACAGCTGTTGTCACCAAAAATTGCAATTTATATTTTAATTGTTAACTGTTACTCATGAAATAGTCTTGTCAAATACCATTCGGGCATCTAATTTTTCCTGTGAAAAACATCGAAAAAACACAATGCTAAGTAATATTTTTTAACAAAATGCATTCGTGCAGGTGCAAAAATCCTCCTCTTCGACTCGGATTTTTGTTGCCACCAGCACTCATGCTTCTTGTTAAAATATTACTTAACAACGTGTTTTTTCGATTTCTTTTTCGGAATAATTAGATGCCCTTTGATATTACTCACGAATATTTCACTCATGCATTATTGTAACCAGGAAGACTAGACTCTATTCTTCGTGGTTGTAACAATGAAAAACCACGTTGCCATGATAACGGTTTGTTTGTATGTAAGTATGTATGTATAGCCCCCAAAATAAATTACCCCCGAGATAAGCGAGCGAGTGGGAGACTCTGAATCTAAAAGTGGTGGTTTTTGGTTGGTTAGTAGATATTATTGCTTGAATAACATAATTAGTCATATGCAATTGAGGTTTTGATAAGAATGTCAAGAACTTGCAACTGCTTTAGACAACTTTTTAACATTAAATTCTTATGAACGTACAATGTTTTTGGACAGATACGTAAGCATCTTTAAAACAAATTTATAAGTTTTAAAGGCTGAAAGGTTGGTGACCAAAAACTGTTTGCCGAAAGACTTAACGGAAAGTGACTTTAAAGAAAAAATAATTTAGGTATTGCAAAAAAAAGAAATAAATTCTCATAACAACTTTTTTCCGAATATTAACAACTTTATACAAAATTGTATGCAAAAGTAATGTATGCTTTAACAAAAAACATATCTTAAAAGATAAATTATTGCAGTGAGAAATATTTAAAATAAGAAATTAATAAAATAGAAAATTGTTTTAGTAAGAAATTAATGCAGTGAGAAAATATTGCAGTGAGAAATTCTTAAAATAAGATTATTTTTTCTTCATATTTATGTTTTAACAGCAATATGTGAGTTAGGGGCTTAAGCCGCCTACAAATTGTATCGTAAGACAAAAACGTCAAAACAAGTTTTATCTACGTTTTTGCACAAAACTCATTAAAATAAATCGTTTTGGGCATGTTCAAGAAAGGCCATATGGTTAGTTAGTTTCTATTTGTTGTGGTCTGTGGTTAGTTTCAAGAAAGTTACAATTTTTTGTATTTTTAGTAGGTATTTTCACTCGAAAAATATTTTCCTTAAATACAGCTTGTACTTAAAAATAAATCAAGCACTCTTGGTATTACTCCCGAAAATTACTCTTTAATCAAGCAGAGCTAAATCGAGAATGTTTTAAGAGTCACCTATCTGGGGACACACTGTACTTATATAAAAAATCGCATTAAAAAAAATAATAATATTTTTTTAAAAGTAATTACTTAAGTAGCTAAAATCATCTTTTCTTTTTTCAGAATATTAATTTGGACTATAATATTAATTTAGACTATAACTGGATGCGTAATTTTTGTCAAAATCATCGCGTTTGTTTAGCTCCAAGAGCCGTACAGTGGCGGAACAGTTTTAAGGAAAATCTAAGAAAATGTGTTAAATAAATACTTAATTGTTGTAATTGTTACAATGTAATTTTGCGCATCCAGTGTTATAAGGTCTAAATTAATATTCTGAAAAAAGAAAAGATGATGTTTAGCTACTTAAGTAATTACTTTTAAAAAAATATTATTAATTTTTTTCATGCGATTTTTTATAAATTCAAATTTATACAAAATTATTGACTAATCTAATTAGTAAAATAAAAACATGTCGGCAAAATTGCAAGGTTCGCCAATGACTAAGGTAAATGTACAGTATTGGCCATAATTTTTGCAACCACTGTAAAAAAAATCTTTAATCTTTTCAGCAAAATAATCAAAAAGGGTTATTTTTACCAACTTTGAAGCGCTGTATCTTCGTTACTGTTCGTTTAATTTGTACAAAATTTTCAGGGTATACTAAGAAAAATACGGTCTTTAACAGCATATTTTATATTTACTTAAAAAAAATTACCCTAAAAGTTATTTTTCGAACGTTTTTTCATTATTAAATAAAATAAATATTTTCTCGAAAAACCCTCGAACACGTAAACTGAGATATAAGTTGAAGTATTTTTATCCAAAATTTCATAAAGAATAATAAAGGTGTTTTAGAGTGTTTTTTTTACAGTGGTTGCAAAAATTAGATTTCAATAAAAACTTGTATGGAAAACCTTTTATAACGCCATAAATCGCGTAACGGGCGCGACCTTAGAAAATCGGCAAATGCGACCAAGTTGGATTTTAAAGTTGATAATGTAAAATTTCGGATGAAAGCATATAGTACCTCAAATATTCAAAAAAAAATGAATATATACATTTCGTGGCTTTTTCAACCATTAATGGTTGAATTGAAATTTGAATCCACAAATTGATAGGTAGTATTTTTTTAATGCATGCATGGTTCTCATTTTTCATCAAAATGGATTTAAGGGGTTTTGATAATAGGGGATTCAAATATAGTATACCTACTTTATTTTCTAAAATAACGGGTGCGAAATTTAAACTTTGTATCGAGTATTAAAACTCTTCCGTGTTTATTCTTATAAGCTATAGCATTACAATGAACGAAAATTTTAAATTTATAAATTACGTCGCAATTAAACTATTTGACTTCAGATATAGGTAGTTTTTATTTTGTTAAATAAAACATCTGATTTTTTGTCAATGTGGGGTAAGGTTTTGTTGAAATACCCTTTGGTAATTTAATAAATATTTTTTATACTTAGTTCAGCAGTTTTTTTACATTTTCAATTAATATTGCCGGAAAATATATATTTTTTAAATTTTAGGGCTAAAAATTAAAATATTTAATGTTTTTTATTTAAATGTAAAAGGGGAGCACCAAAGAATGCACGTATACGCCTATAGGCGCCAGACACCCCAGGAACGGGCTTGCCTCTTCCTGTCGCATTTACGCTGTAGTTTTTACTTAGATTATACACCTTTTTACAATGTTAAGTTGTTTTTGAAAAAAAAATCAATACAAAACACCGAACAACTGTCAACACTAATCTTGAAGCCACAAATCATGTTTGTTTACGCGTCCAGTGTTGTATGGTCTAAGATTTAGACTTTATATTTTTCCCAAAGAGAGTATTTCATGAAATTCAAGGATGCCTTATTCTTTATATCACAAAAAATTTTGTAATTTATTTTCTAGTTTATTTTATCGGGTGAATCGTCGTGAATGTTTGATTAATTTGAAATTGTAAATTTATTGTTGAGCAAAATTTTGTGAGACTGTCGACTGATAGTTTTGTTAAAGTTTTAAGCAAAATTGCTGTCAAAGTAATTTTTAAAATAATAAAATATAAATCATTCAAAACGATTACAAGGATTACTGAAAAGAAAAAAAAATAGATGTATTATCAACTATCATTTATATTGGCTGTCAGTTATATCTTTTACTTTATAAACAAAAAAACGTTAGACAGTGTAAGGCCATAAACTCGGCATTTTCCCAAGTGTGCAATAACTTAAAGGGATCTAAGTGAACGGGTTGCCCGAAAGAAAATCGCTCTTTCACACTCCGTTGCTGGTTCGAGCGGAAAATTTATGTTTTATTAAATAAATTAACGCGTAAATAGCTCCAAAATTGCAAAAGCTTATTTCAATAATTTTCTCGCTTTACTCAACAGGTGTTTTATTATTTTTATGTTTAGATTTGTAAACGTACTACACTGTTCAAAATTTCATGACCATTTTAACACCAAATTAAAACCATACATGGTCTCTTATATAATATCGATACAAACCAAAATGGTGTTAAATATGGTTCGTTGGTCCAGTGTAAATTCAAATAATAAAATAGTGTAAATTTAACTTTCACACAGTATTAAAATAAATTTTACCTGGTGTAAATTGAACTCCTTTTCAGTGCTAAATATTATGTGTTTTTGGTCAAATTATTATTAGTATTATTACAGAAAATTAAACCTTTAACTCGCCAGAGATAATGTTTTTAGTGCGTTCCACCAACTTAAAATACTTCAAGTATTGACAGCTGTTTCCACCTATTTAAGGTCTTATTAGTATCGAACAACTTATAGTGTCACACCAAAGCAAAGGACTACCTGAGCTTATATACTCTTCATGTAAGTCAACAGAGGCGAGATTTAAGAACGTCACGTGATCCACCCGCCTTTGCCGCGATCGGTACACACTATGCAACCAGTAATGCACGGCAAATTGTTTTAATCGTTTTAACAGAGTGCTTTAGGTTGAAGTAACTCTTATTTTACAAACAACATATTTAGTAAACTGAACCATACAGCGGGTTGGTTTCACTAAAGTTTTCTGGGTTAATTTAACCAATTTAAAAAAAAAACTATCTGGTTTAGTACCGTCAAACTAATCTTTGTTTATATTAACCTTCCCACAGTTGATTTAAATAAATAATTATGGGTCAACTAAATTAATATAGTTAAATGAACTATTCCATTTTTTATGTGTAGGTGCACTTCTCAAATATTTTTAGATAAACACCGTTTTGGTGTTTGCTGTATATAACATTTTCAACCATGTTTATATTAACACCACTTGGTGTTGGATTTTGAGACCATTTTAAGATTACTCTTTACACCACAGATATTTTAAACAGTGTACCCATAATTGATGTTTGACATTTAAAACGTGGATTTAAAAAGTTTCTCGACTTTTTTTTAATAATAATTGGGATGGTTTTGTTTTTTTATGTTTAAAGGTTTATGTGCAAATAACAAAAAATTAATTATTTTTTTAGTTAAGAGCTGGCATTATGTATTTTTAACTTGTATAGCAGATATATCAACATTTTTAAGATGAATGACTTATTTATTAGGTTTTGATTTTTTTATAACTACTTTTACTTTATTATCTCGTAAATACCCTATACGGTCTATAGACCGTACATGTACATATAATAGGTATTATGTAGTAGTAGTGGAAGAGCAGTGAACTACCTAGTGTAGTACTGAACTTCGCCTTTTGTTTGTAATAAGTTTTTTACAATCAATAAAGACATTATTATTATTATTATTATTATTATTATAGTCGTATTATCTTACCTGGTATCTATCCAAGGCGATCGCAGTTATAGATATAGTAGACACAAAGGTACTGGTGGCTTGTAAAATTCCGATGGTCTTGCAGAGAAAAGGACTGTTGCCCAAGGGAAAATACGTGGCCAGGATTTCCATGAGCGTAAGCGGCATTGTAACGGTGCAAAGTAACCAGTCCGCTATGGCCAAGTTTAGGATGAACATGTTCCTGGGTGTTCGCATTGTTGGTTTTCTGATAACTGCAATGATCTGAAATATAACCACATAAATAATTTATTAATAATATACAGTGCGCCCTTTATCTTTTGAAGGAAATAAGGTATCGACATCGGACTAAAACCATTGTCAAGGTGATACAGATTTGCGATAACTCGAATCGCCAGGCCGGATTTACCGAACAGGCAACGTATGACGACAAGAAAATTTATTAGTTTAAAAAACTTAGCAACCGTTAAACGGATTTTAACAATTTAAATAGCAACAAATAGAGAATCGAAATACCTTTCAAAAGCGGTATCACAAGCACCCCTTTTCATTTAAAAATAATGTGACAAAGCAGTAGCGGACAAAACCCAATGGGGCCCCTAGTCTGCTTATGAAATAATGTGATTGTTTTGTAAATATTAAAGTTTTGTTATTTTAAATTTGTTAGTAGATCCTCTTAGCAAGTCCTTTTCAACACTCTTAATGTAATCAGGGATGTGAAAATTGATTACAAGCTTTTTCCAGCGAACTTATAAGTATACTTATATTTGAACTTAATTTAAATTTTAAAAATCAAGGGGCCCACTCATGGCAGTCTAAGATTAACCATTATTTAATGTAATTATAACCTTTTTTCTAATTCCTGATGGATTGCAGCTAGGGGCTCCCTAGACCAAAATAATAAAAATCTTTTTTAGTTTTGACTTTATATTTTGTTTTTTTTTTTCATAGCATGTTATTTTTTAGAAACTTGAAATCTCCGGGGTATTTTTTTTTAATCAGTTTATATTTAATGGTGAAGCTGGGTCCTGATATACCTATACTAGGGTTTTAAAGTGTCGAAAAAAACTAAACATTGAATTAAATTAAATTGATTTAAGAAAATGATATTATGATTATATTCAGCAACGGAAATTCACTTTTTCTCGATATCAGTGTACGGATAGTATCTACATATCTGTAAAAATTTGTAAATATTTAAAAAAATTTGTAAGTTTTTAGAAAAATTTGTAAATTTTTAGAAAAATTTGTAAATTTTTAGAAAAATTGACTTTTGCATTTTTTCGTATTACTCTTTGAATAAAATGAGAAAAAATGCAAGTCAATTTTTCTGAAAATTTCCCTATTTTTTTCCGGAAAAAACCGATATTTTCCGGAAATTTTAAAACCCTTAAGTTTTTTTTGGACTGAGAAAGACTACTTAAGATTTGGGGGCCCTTCTGGACCGGGAGCCCGGAGCGGACCGCCCCCGCCCCCCTTAGCCCGCCACTGGATAGAAGTTTCCTCTCCTTATATAATTCGACGTATTTTTTATATTTACCTATGTTCTTCAAATTTAAAAGAAATTTAAGGTGGTTCGTTTTGAAATTAAAACCCTGTGTTTCAGTTTTAAAATAAAATATTATACCAATAATATTGTGTATAAAAACTATAAATTACGATGTTTTAATTATTAATAAGTATAATGACATATTTAAAGGCTTGAATTTAAACAAATACAATTTAATACCACATCAAGGTTTTTATTTTTACTTAAAATTATTTTTTTCTACTCCCTACCTTTTAAATACACATTGACAATTTGTGACTTTATGACTTTTAGTCACGGGCTGAAGTCAGTTTTAAGTTAGTTGGCAGTTGTCAAATGTCATACAATCGTTAAGTGCCTTTCTTGAAAATAATACTAAATGTAAATATAATTTTATAACCTCAATACAAAAATACAAGTATAAAATAGTTTCTTAGCGCCAATATTTGAAAAGATTATATGAACGTTTGTACCTTTTGATTTCGCCGTGGTAGTGGAGTAAACTACATTTTACTGATAAAGCGTTAACAATTTGGGTATAGTGCCCATAAAACATTATTTCCCTTTTATAAGTATACTGTGAAAAACTGCTTCTATATCGATTGTGAGTCCATTTTCAAGGGAAAAAAATTGATTTACAAAGAAAAATTTGAGATTTTAACGCCGGGATATTCCCAAGTTAGAAATTCTAACGGGAATTTCAATAAATACAATTCCCTTGTAAAAAATTTTAATATTTTGTTATAATATTTTGCAAATATAGTAATAAAAAATCAAAGAATAAAATATGTTCTTAATATAATCATATGTCGCAAGGTCGCTCGTGCCTAAATTAAATATGTGACTAAAATGACGTTTTTCAAACTTGATACATAATATACTATTGTCGAAAAAGTTTTAGGATAAATTTATTGTTTATACAGACTGTATAGAAACAAGTAAGTAAGGCTGGAGAGTCTCTGGAGAGTCATCCTTGTCTCCAGTGGAGACAAGGATGACAAATTATATTCTGATCAGAGAAAAAGAAACAAACTTTAATTGGGCGTGGTTTAAAACAAGCCATTCGTAATTACGAACCATAGTTGCAAGGTTGTTTTAAATCAGAAGAGAACGATTATAATTATTTAATAAATAGTTCAATTTTATTTGTTTGAAACTTTAAAAATAACACAAAATTAATAATATATAAAAAATAATTTGATTTAGTTAATTTTCTTACTTTTAATATTAAAAAATAAGAAAAACAACCCTTTTAGGAAGCAATAATAGCATACAGCCAGATACAAGGGCATGCAGTTTGATCTACTGTGTTTGTTCAGTAGGTCCGACGCTGTCGTAGGGAAATGTGTATAGTTTTTAAGAAATACATTTTTGCCATTAACTGGAATTTAATGGATTTTAAACAATACTTAGTTTTTATTTTCAGAAATGCATTAAAACCTCTAAATTCTCAAACAAAAATAATTCTAAAATAAAGAAAATAACTTTTTTTTTTAAATTAAATGTTCAAATAGACCACCAGCAGCAGTTAAACAATACCCTAGCCTATCATAAAAATTCCTGCGCACGTTAAACAGCATTTCAGGACTAATATCTCCCAATGTATTAAAGATTTGCACCCTTAATTCATCGAGATTATTAGCCCTGAGCTCTTGAAATCCATAAATTTTCGACTTGACGTATCCCCACAAGAAAAAATCACACGGAGTCAAATCCGGTGGTCTTGGAGGCCAAAGAATATCTCCATGACGACCTATCACGTGATTTGGAAAGTTGTCATTTAAATACTCTCTGACAACCGTATGGTTTCAAACGGAATTGGCAAATTTTGAAGTGCCGGAACAATTTGATTTTGCAGTAGCTCTAGATACTTTTGCCCATTAAGATTACCATCAATAATAAATGGCCCAATGATATGGTCTCCAAGAATTCCAGTCCAAACATTTAATTTCAGGGGGCGCTGTGTTCGGGCAACATACACCTTGCGGGGATTTCCCCCTCTTGCCCACCAGCGGATGTTTTGGGAATTATGACGACCATGTAATAAAAAACTCGACTCATCCGTAAAAAGGATGTTTGTGATGAAATTATCATCCTCGTTCGCCTTGTTCATTACATATTCGCAAAATTCCATGCGGCGATCTGAATCGCCCAGGTGTTGCTCGTTACCCCTCTTCAATTTATAGGAATGATACCCATGATACAAAGTATATACCCATGCTTGCGTAAAATCTTGGAAACCGTATCCTTGGAAATATCAAACTGATCAGCAAGTGTTCTGGTAGATTGTGTAGGGTCTTGCTCTACACTTGCACAAATCAAAATGTCCCTTGCTTCTCCATGCGTTCGAATATTGTACATTATCCTCTAGATTGTAGCTACACTGGGTAAAGGCCTATTTTGAAACATATTTTGAAATAAAGTTTGTATTTGGCGATACAATCTACCAGTGTGATGCCATTCCATAATTTGGTATTTTTCCTCACGGGTAAAAACCATTTTATTTGAGAAAATACTTTTTTATTCTTACAAAGACTTACGCAAAGTCTCAGTGCACTTCTTAAACTGACGCACAGATCATACGACTAGGGATGGGAAAACTATCAGTAATTACAGTTATCAGGAAGAACAAATATCAATAAGTATCAGTAAGGGGTGTTGTTACTGATAGTAATATTTCTACTTGAAGAAATTTTTAAGATAACTGTAAAAACCTTACTTTGTCAGAAAATAATAAAATGCATATTACCCAAAAAAAAATTTCTTCAGAAAAATCAATTCATGACTTACCGACCCAGTATTTTAAGTTGTCTTATAGATTGAGCTAGTTAATAACAAGCTCCATTTATGAGAAAACTTTTAAACTTCCCAGATACATCTGGTTATTTTGCATTTTTTTGTATCTCCGAGTTTTTATAACCTTAATTATAACTAACCAATAAGGTTTCTACAGTACAAATTCTACCAGAATCTAGAAACTTTCTAGATTGCTTTAACTCTAAACGAGTGATTTTGTCGCGTTTTTAAACAGTGTTGTTTTCTGGCGTTAAAACATGCAGTTAGAAAAAAGTTCTTCAAAAAAAAAACCAAACTACTTTGCAACTTTTCCAACAAAGTACAAGTGGACAATCTCTTACTATAATTATTTGAATACCTTTTCCTGCTTCCTTACCAAAATTGAATAATTTTCGAATATCCCGCTTCGAAGAGGTGGTGGAAAAAGTTATTGATATTTACTGATAGTTATCAGTAATTCACTCGAAATTACTGATAGTTATCAGTAGAAATTTTTAGTGATAGTTCCCATCCCTACATACGACAATGATACGGCAAGCAAACAAATTCAATCCCTACCACAGTGGGCGGGGATTGGCACTTGTTTTATTTAAGTGTATCTATTCGCTTTAATACACACTGTATATATTTTTAAGGTTTCAAAACATGCATAAACATTAAATTTACGAAAATAAAAAAAACAATATTTTACTTATATTCTAAACATAACTGGAATCAGTCGTAGTTTTACTAAAAATAGTTATCAATAGGTAAATAAACCAATTATACTACTTTATAATTTGCCACTCTGCGGAAATAGCCTGTTCCGTAGTTAAATGGCACACCGTTGGAAATCAGTTACAGACAAATTGAATACAGTTATCGATAGAGCAAAACGAGCCCACATAAATCTCGTTTGTCCCACTTTTAAGAAAATGCGAAAAGTTGTGAAAGCTTTTTA